GGGGGAACCCTTCCACCACGCTGCTACATGATTATCTCCCCCCACCTCAAGTGCGCAACAGACCCGGTTTGCAGTCTCGTTACCAATTTATCAGTCGACTGTCCAAGGACTAGAAGCATGGAGGTTATCTTATAACCCTTCTAAAGGACTTGCGATAAAAAGAGAATACACAGAAGGAAGTTCAGTAGGATGTGAGGTTTTCACGGCGGTGATTACGAAGTTGGCTCTCTTCTGGCATGTAGAGTCCTGATGATGGAGGCAGTAAGGACCTCTGAAATGCTGGAATACTTCGACTACACGGTGGTACAACCCAGAAGACAGACATCTTAAAGAAAACTTCATTCGGCGATCTTCCCCGAAATATCCCGAAATCCTGATAAACATTAAACCAATACGATCGATTGAAAACTAGTGAGGGGAAGTGAGGGGGGGACAAAGGAAAATTCTCCTGGAAGGAATGCGGAAACAGTGTTGTGGGTGGTGGCAAGGAGAAAGGAGAAATATCTACTATTTAGAATTAAAATATTTGCAGAGTTTGCCTGTGTTCTGCCCTCGACTGCCTTTGCTGTCAGTATTACCGAACAGGAATATGTACGTATAATTCACTGAGTGCAGCTCCTGTCAATGGCCGGCTTTCACTGAGGAGGTATATTCTCAGGATGGATATTAGTAGTGGCCATCTGATGGGTTCTGCCGCGTGTCCTTATTCCACCTCCTTTCTCCCCGTACGAAGACCCCCAGGGCTGATAACCTCCGACCCAAACTGCACAAGACTGTTCGAGATTTGAGGTTCTCATGGCGGTGAAGATGGCAGTGCTGTTCGTATAGGTTCGGGATTGAGCCTTGAAGAAGGAGACGATGTTTCTTCGAAACGTTGGTATCTACATACCAGTCTACACGGCGTTACAAACCAGAAGAACAAAATCATCATCTGCAAGAAGACTTCGCTCGTCTGAAGATAGTGAGGGACATCGGGACATATTTATGATTATCAATAATTATTTCAGAACTAATTGGAATGTTATTATGTGAACTTTAGACTGTAACCAGAATGTGTGCCCTTGGGATTTATCGCCAAGAAGACAGATGTTACTGCCCTTGAGATATAATGCGAAGAAGAAAAGATAACCTTTTCTAGCAGCGTTAATTTATCTTTTTCTGGTCTTATTACGACCAGTTATTGGGTAAAACAGCAAAGAGAATGTTCTTAGCCATAATCTTAGTACCATTTTATTGAATTACCTGCTACTCTTAAACTGTTCTTGGTCTTTTTATCGACTGCAAACCAAATACTAGACTAGTGCTTAATTCAAGCGTGATTCTATTCGTTTAAAGCCGTTTTACAATGTGGAACACAAAATGATGCATATGAATGAATGATATTGTTGCGGTCCCGATCGAACCCATGTACTGATGGGTCGTGAATCCTGCTAACCACCAATGCACACTATGCTGAATGGTGTGTACTAGATACGAAAAAAAATGCATGATATCACCCGGAAGACCTAGACATAGATGGTAGCATCACGCAGAATTGACCCTAAAGAAAAGAGTATATACTGACGTGGGCTGGATTCGAATGGATCAAAACAGGGTCAAGTGTATGGATCATATGGCTAGATCTGCGTGCTTAAAACGAGGCAAGCTGTAAGACTATCAGCTTATCAAAAACACTGTTTTTTATGTAGTATAACGGAAATTGCAATGACCTATATGTGAACGTGTTTACAACACACTAAGCACGAACATTTCTGACAATCCTATAAAGACAACCTACTTTTGTTACTGCTTATAAACTTGAATGCCTTGAAAGATTATAATTCCAACCAATAACATACTTAAACGCGCTGCTAAGGAAGATTCCGCCAGTGTAACGAAACACTTGAGCTGTTTAACATTGGATGACTACAGTTGAGTTCGGATTCAGCGAGAAGGTCCAGGTTGGCGGATTCCAAAGATTTTCAACTCTTTTAAACAGTGAACTGCTGACGTCACGATACTCATGAAGGTAAGAGGGCACTGTAGAAGGCTTAGCTGTTAGTCTGTGGAACATACAAGGAGATGACGAAATCACCAACTTCACGGAGTAGGTTCCATCTTGGAAAGCTAAAGCAGAATTTTCAGATGTAGCCTACAAGAAACTGTCTCTACGCTAACTGAATACTTTCATTTCATGAACCTCGCGAACTCCCGGTCTATACCGAAAACTGAAATTGAGTCGCATCTATCTTGATGAAATTTAAAAACAGCCAAGTAAGTAAAAGACCCAAAGGACTGATACAATTTTATAAAATCTTGACAGGCGTCTATTCGCAATTAGAATAATCATGCATCTTAAAAGTTATTTTCTCCTTATTTGTTGAAACATAAAATATAATATATTATGACGCCCCAAACAACGAAGTGAAATTAATAAATAATTTTTTTTGGAAGGAATTTTGGTACAACATATGCCTTTTAATAGGGATAACTATGAAAACTAGTATACATATTTCTATATACGATACCAAAATAAATTGTTCTGAAATCTAATCTAGCGTTTGTTATACCAAAATGGCCCTACGCACACAGTTTTATGAGTTTGTTAAAATGTGCGATGGAAGTTATATGCAATCTTATTATTTAAGAAGAATTTACTTCGAAGAAAACTAGGATTACCATACTTTACAATAAGAATAAAGTTGGCCATGCCTTACATCTGAGCAATGTGAATACAATTATAGCTTTATACTTTCTTGAAAACCTTTGAAAAGACGTGTCGATATGATATCAGCTGCTAGATAAAGAAAGTGAACAACTGTAGGATAAAATAAGCAACAGACTAACCATCAGTTTACAGGGAGTACATCGCAGTTCGCAATGTAAAGGAAGGGGTCTATGTATGACAATTTTATTTAAGCAATATTATGACGTCACTTTCAACTGTACCATTAAAAAAATTCGTAAGGCAACTGCAGTTTGTAAAATTGTAACCACATCACAAGAAATTGAGACACCAGCTTTAATATTACCTGTATAATTTCCTGTGATTATGAACGTTTTCTTTTCAAAACACTCGCCAGTTCGAATGAAGAGATCTGAAAGAAGTCATATACGAAAGGATTCTTTAAAAAAAGCCATGTGCTCTGAACTTGATACATTTTCGTGGTTATGAATGAGTAGATAGTATAGAAGACATTAGTTAATGGGTGCGAATATTATGAGCAGACTTCAGAGACAAATAATCCATCCAAATGATAAAATGTTCTTCGTCTGTGTTCTGATTAGCAAGCTCTGTTTTTTTCACTTCAATCTGCGAACAGGGAAGAATCCGTTGAGTTGTCCGTTTGTGAACAGGGTTTCTGTTTACTCATTACGCAGATCAGCATTTTACCTAGTACGTAAAACTTTCTAGTGTATACCCACCACCTTAGGCCACATATACAATATTAGTATCGCTCTGAAGCCCAAAAGGCTGATTGTCATGCTCTATATCACAATAGTGTAAGTGTTCGCGGTTTGAAAACGTTTTCATTTTACCCGAACCAATTCTTTAAGCTTGTTTGCCCTTCGTTGAGAAGATGTGAACTGACAAAACCAACACATGGACGGTATAACCGAGGCCCAAGGCCACTATCGTTTTGCATGTGAACTGACAAAACCAACACATGGAGAATGGTACGTACATCATATGAATTCTGTTTCAATTATATGCGATATCCCGAGGACGGTATAACCAAGGCCCAAGGCCACTATCGTTGGGTATGAGTTTTTTACATGATAACAGCTGTATTACGTAAGAACTGTGTGAGCAGATGTTGTGACCAGCTGGAAGAATGTGACATTGCAGAAGTTTATAGAAATGTCTGCTAACGAATATAATGCAGGTTAGTACATGGAGTAGGAGAAGTATAAGTAATATGATGTGTTTTGGGGCATTTTAACATAAATGCGAGAAAGTGGTACCCGACAGCGTAAACTTACAAGGTAAGTTACGTTCGTAGTTCAACATTATTATTTAATTAGAAGGCAACTGTATTTTACAGAAACAGAATGGAGATTTTTAAACTATAAATACAACTGTCAGTGATATGTCATAGAGGAAATCTGGCATGTTCACAGGCTTTTATATATAAAAATATCCATTATGCCTTCTTTTAGTCCATATTAAGAAGGTAATGCTAATTTGTGTAGGTTACCAGTACAAGCACCACTTTTCAAATCCCCTAAGCGAATTTAAATGAAAACCTGAGAGTACTGATAAATAAAGACACAGAGGTTTTATTTACGGGTTAATTATTTTTTGTATGTCGAAAAACGACGAAAACTTTTCCCAATATAAAAACGCAAAATTACTCTGAGCGGTTCCATTTCACGGATTTCCTCTACACGCCTATTTTACACGGTCCAGTGAAATCGTAAAGAATCATCACGTGCTGTGACCACAGTTTTACATGCAATGTTTAAACCTTGGACTGTTCTGTTGACAATGATGCTGGAACACGTCATTTGAGAATTTTGCTGAACATAATATTATTAATGGTCCTTGAAGAGATAGAGACGGTATAATTTCTTGTTCCGTAAGCTTGTATCAGAAATATGTCACAAAGCGTGCGCATTTTTTGTGTTAGCTGAAACTCTGAAGCAAGGAAACTACTGAATCTTCCTCATCACTGCGAAATAAAGAAATGACAACGAAGGAGGCGCGCAAGAAGCCAGAGGATAAGCCCAAATCGCTACAGAATAAGACGAACGAAGATAAAGACAAGTTTGAAGTCCAAAAGTGCATCGAAAGATTGCGTGAACTTCTAGAAGGTAAGTTTTTGTTGTTGTAATTTTATGTAAATAATATGGAAAGAGGGGAAATATGAGAGTCGTAACTCCATCTGTAAAAAATGTTCATACAGAACTAAAATTATGTCATCGATTATAAGTGCAGCATTGTAGTGTTTTTTTTTATTGTATGTGTGCCGACAATGAAGAAGAATTGACGTAAGTAACATACACGGAGTGCTTATATTCTGTGGCGGCTTAGGTAATCCAATTGATTATTTCAACACAAACTTACATAATATCTTAGGTGGATTTTGAAAATTTATGTGCTCAAACGTTTTCATTTAGCGGCAAATAATTCTCGACAAATATTTATGACGTTATTTCACTACCTTCAAAATTAATATATATATACACACATATACATATGTACTCATGTGGTTATCGGGGTGTAAGCAAGTCCTGATTATCACCGCCAATCCATCGATTAAAAAGAACGCACAACTGTGTTGAAAAAAATTCCATTATGGTATGAGCGCAAGAAATGAACAAGTGTTGACATAAATAAAATACGCAATACGAACTTTTCACTTAATACTGCTGTAGCAATTACATTAAGGTGGGTGAGACTTACGAAATTGTGAAGCACGCACGGAAGAAATAAGGAAAACAAGTAGAAATTTTCTTAGAAACCTGAAGGAGAGAGATCAGTTAGGAGACATTGGCCTGTATGGGAACATGATATGGAAACGGTTTTTAAAGAAGGATGATTTTTCAATCGTGACCTAATTAAACTGTCTTAGTATGAAGGTGTGGATTATAGTGGAATTGATTTGTAGAGAATCGTTCTGTAATACGGCAATTTAATTGTTCCTAAGATGTTACTAATTTTCGCTTAAATATTTCACAGGAGAAGAAAATCTAAAAGTAAGACTCGATGACAAGTTTCTACTCCGGTATTTGAGATGGGTGGATTTCGACCCAGATCTGGCCTTCACTAAGGTACTGTACGGTTTAATATTGTTAATATTATTATTTGCACACGAACTAATCACTTGCGGGCTTTTGTAAACGCGGTTATGAACCTTCGGGTTCCATAAAATATTGGGAATTTCTTGAGTCGCTAAGTGACTATTGGCTCCTCAGAAAGGACTCGGCACCATGGAATAAGTACACGAACTTACACATGACGCAGGCTAAACCTTGTCCCTGATTCTCGTTACAAAGTACCTTCAAGGAAATACATTTTAGAAGAATTTATTATTTACTTCAATATTGCAATTCTTCATACCAATTTAACCAAGACTGTATTTTGAAATATTTTAAAAATGAATGTCTTATCTACAACGTGACTTCTTTTTCCATCTGATCAAATTACGTTGGTCTAAGTCCATTTTAATCCACTGCTGTTCGAATTATTGAAAGAACTCCAAAAATACAAGTAGAAATAATAGTTATAAATTGAAAAGTAACTTAAAACTTTCATATACATGTCGTATATTAATGTAAAGTATACTGCGTATTTCTCAATTTATTTAACAATGTTCTTCCAGCGCCAAATTTGAGGATAATTGTGTGCAATAAATTGGGGAATACGTGGAAGACAGCGGCTATGATTTCTTTGAAAATAAAGAGTATAACATTCGTTTCAAAACTGAGGAAAATATGAAAACCTCCGGATACTCCGGAGAATATCATCGGGGTCTGATATCTGTCCCCGATTATGGATACAGACACAGTCTTAGAATCATCGTTTTATCTAAGTTGCTGATTGGTGGAGAATACATATAGATACAGTTTTAACGACATCGTTAAATAACCGCATAAACATTCAATCATTACTTTCACTTCTTATAAAGCTGTTCTATAAGCACAAGGAATTCATTTTGTTTCAGATTAAGGACATTTACAAATTTCGGTCTGAGACAAAGGAATGGCACTGTAGCAAACAGCCGTCCGAATATGCGACTGTTATTGAAATGAACGCACAAGTCCTTCTTGGTAACAGAGACAGCAGGGGCCGGCGGGTGTACCTCGTCAAAGTGGGTGAGAGAATTTTTATACGTTTCAAGGAAACAGTTTGGAGATAATTGGGCAGAAGCAACGTCTTGTTAAACCAACAGACGTAACACGGCGTGTTACGACACTGTTGACGATTCTCCTAGAATCAAAACTCTTATTGACATACTTAACAAAGACATAGAATAAAAGTGGCTTAAGTTTTAAGTATATACTGTAGTGCAAGGAAGAAAATACCGAGTTGGAGCAGAAAAATTAGGGTATTTCAAAATGTAAGGATGCTGTCCTAAAGACATAAGGTATCGACATGGGATATCATTTCTTCTTCTTCTTCTTTATTACGCCGTCTCCTTTACAGGAGGTTGGCGACATATTATGAACAGGATCCTTCCATCCTTTTCTCGGACTGTTACCTGTTCATATATGCTTTAAGGCAGGTGATACAGAAGTGGTTTGACATTGCCTTCTTCAGTGTGTATGGAGTGCCACGGAGAAACCGGGGAAGCCCCGGAGGAAATATCCGTGTTGCCTAGACCACGGCCTTGTCCAACACAATTTATAAATTCGGGCACCGCCGGGAATCGAACCCGGGACGCCAGAATTACAAGGCCAGCGTTGGGATATCATTTGAATGGCTTTATTAGAACATGCACGCAAAGAGGATGCATTACAGAGATCACACGACTGTTACAGGAAACATAGACTGCACCAACAAAGATGTCACAATTCACACCATCAACTACGTGGACGACATGTGGCTGGAGGTGGCGATGGAGGAAGAAGAGACTCAGAAGAACGGTCTGGCTATCATCATCGACATGGAGGGCTATTCGTGGAAACTATTCCGATGGCTCACGCCACAAAACATTAGAATTTGCTCCCGAAAATTCTACGTAAGTTGAACAATGATTTATCAGGTTTCACGGAGGGAAAAATGTGGAGTGTGGCTTCCTGGAGTACAGGATTACAAGGAAAATTATAATTGCGAGTTTTTACACAGGCTCACAAAACTAATTTGAATGTAGTAAGTCAAGAGTAATGCTTTTCAACTAGGCAAGTTTAAGTCCGTACAAAGGATTTGAGGTAATAACAAAAGGCTTAACAGGGAACGAACTCTACATTACAATCCTTTTTGGACATATACCGCACCAACTCGTTGCAACGGTGTGTGGTTTAATACCTGTTATCAAATGAACATATCTTTTCCAGAACTTAACATTCCGAGAGATCGA